CAGAGAAGACCGTATGGCTGGCCCCACTATGAGACACAACATCCCTCACTGAACCATAGCCCTACAGGGGACAGCACTGGAGACACTGTGTGGAAATTCCACCCGATCAGATCCCACCACACCAAGGCAAAACACTAAGGGCGTGCAACAGGACAGCAAGGGGAACAGAGCAACGAAGTCCCCAGGGAATACCAAAAATAGCCTTTGGGGCCAGGGCTTGGCACCCCTTCAGACTCGACCGGAAAACACTCCTAAAGGCCAGCAAACAGTCCTTGAACTAACTACAGGCTTTTCTTTGTTGTTGCTTTTGTTGTTTTTGTCATTGGCTTTTTGGATTTTTGTAGTTTTCTTTTGTTGCTTTGTTTTGCTTTGTCGTATTTTTGTTCATGTTATTATCTCCACAGGTCTGTCTAAATAAGATAGGTTGGATGAACAATCTGGAGGAGAAAACAACGGGACCTAGGTTCTGGGGGAGGGGGGGACATGGGAAAGGAGGAGGTGTGGGGGGGGAGAGTGGTGTTAACAAATCCAAGGACAAGAGAACAAATGATCCCAATCGGTGGCAAGGAGGGTGTAGGAGGCCTAGTAGGGTGTGATCGAGGGTAATGTAATGGAGAGCAATTACTGAAACCCAAATGAAGGCTGATCATGATAGTGAGACAAGAGGAAAGTAAAAGGAAATAGAGGAAAGAACTAGGAGGTAAAGGGCATTTATAGAGGTCTAAATACAGACATGTACCTATGTAAATATACTTATATATGAGGATGGGGAAATAGATCTATGTGCATATATGTGTAGGTTTAGTATTAAGGTAGCAGATGGACATTGGGCCCTCCACTCAAGTACTCCCTCAATGCAAGAATACTTCATTCTATTAAACTGGCATTCCATGATGCTCACCTTCCGAACACGAACACTGAAGACAAAGCGGGTGCATAAGCAAATGTGAACAAAGCTGATGGAGCCTGGCTATCTAAAGATACAGCATCTGGGGTCTTAAAGACTTGCTAGGAATGATGGATTCAAGAGAAATGGGGTTCCATTCATCATCGAAAAGGACATTTAAGATCTGTCTTGAACTACAGTGCTGCCTGTGACAGGATAATATCTGTCTACATATGAAGAAATTCAGTTAATTCTTTAATTCTAATTTATTCACTGGCCACTAAAGCTTGTGATGATGAATTTGAAGAATTTTACCAGCATCTTCAGTGTGAAATTGGTGGCATAGTGGTTATACATTGGGCTATTAATCACAAGGTCAGCAGTTAGTCTTGGAAACCCACAGAGGCAGTTCTACCCTCTCCTATGGAACTGTTGAGTCAGAAATGACTCAACGGCAGTGAGTTTGGTTTAGGTTGTTGTCTCTAAAAGGCTCCCTGGTGGTGTAGTGGGTATATGTTGGACTGCTGACCACGAGGTTGGAAGTTTAAAACCACTAAAGGAGGCTCTGGCCTACCAGCTTGCATCGGGCCCATGGATTTGAGTTGGACTAGGGTAGGATAACTTCTTGATATAAAATTACTTCTTGATGTATGGGTGTCACTGGTTTGGTTTCTCTTGACAACCAAGCCTAGCCCACCACCCATGCAGAACATGTCAAGGAACTTAAGTCACCCAGTTCCTACCTATGAAAATAGGGGAGCAAAGAGTGAAGAATGTGCCTCTTCGAAGTAAGTCACCAAGGCACTTGGATAACCTTTCCCGCAACCTGAAGGAAAAGAGGGGTTGTTCACCCACCCGCCTGTTGTCAAATCAAGTGAAAAGGGCACGAAGGGAGTCACTCACGGAACTTGATAATATATAGATGTCCCCTGAGCTTGGCAGCACGTCACTGATCGAAGAACTGTAGCGACACCATCCTGAGCTGGCAGAGCAGAGAGACATGCATAAAACATGAGTCGAATGCATTTCCATGGCTGTTTACCCATGGACTGGAGGTGGTCTGTGGAGAAAGCAAGCAGCCTGAGCTACCTGGCAGGAGAGCCTTCCCAAGGGACCACGTAGAGGGCTGACTCAGCAGAGCGGTGGTCTGCTAGGACCTAAGGCTAAGATGCAACTTGAAAGCTGCTGGCTGGAGGAAACGTGAATGACAACACAAGAACTGGAGAGAGAACTCTGAGAAACCCATGGAAATGCCTGACAAAGAAAGCGCTTTGAACATCCAGAGCACACCAATAGCTTATCTTAACAAGAAGGACTACTTAAGACCACACCCCAGTCTTTCCGGTAACCCCCTTCTCCCTCTGAGCTCAAGCTAATGGAGGTAGGTCTTCGATGTTCTGAGAAAATCAGGAGAAAGGGTTTTCGCAAAGTAAGCAAGAGCGTGTTACCAAAAAAGAAGGAACCGATTGAGTCAAACATTGCCAATGGTTTAATAAGAATGAGCAGGCAGTGGATTACTATTTTGATCAGACTGATTTCGTTGGGCTGGTTGGTACATCCTTATTCGCCAACCTTCTTCAGTCTGTCTGCTGAGCAAATAACCCAAGAAGCTGGGCGATGTGAAAAAGAGCGCGACATCAAAACCGGAGGAAGGCTCAGTAACCACCTGCAAAACGCACACGGCACAATCTTGCTTGCGGAAAGGGAAGGGGCCTTGAAGAACCTGCTGTCCAGCCATCTCATCCAGGGGCTTCCTCTCTCTCAGTTCCCCTCCACTTTACCAGGCTGGCTGTCCTCTTCCAGGCCCTGGCCTCTCTGGCTAATATGCCCAAAGTATATGAGGTGAAGTCTTGCCATCTGTGACAGTTAGGCTTTTTTGTGCCAACATGGCACCTGTAAGAAGATATGGGTGAGGTTTAGCCTGTCAATCAGGTTGCAGCTTGATGTCCACCTTGAAGGTGAAATGACTCTGGAGGCCAGCCCCTCGCGCTCTCTCTGCTGTCACCTTCCTGTTGATGAGCCACCTGAGACCTGATTGAGCCCTGTGATACGGCCACTGCTATTGGCTGCACACAATCCTGAACCCACTGGCCTGCCTGGGGTCTTCCTGCATTCTCACATGCATGTGGCAGTGTGAGTCTGAAGAGGGACTTATGGACTAGTATTGGACTTAGGGACTCGCGTTGAACTGGGTTGTGATGTTTTATTGATGTATGACTACTTCTTGATATAAAGCTCTTTCTTATACATATACAGTGTCACTGGATTTGTTTCTCTAGTTAACCCAGCCTAACACACCACCTTTGCTTCTAAAGGGAATCCTGGCTGTGCTTCTTCCTGCACAAGATTTGCTTATTCTTTTGGCAGTCCCTGGTCCTTTTAATATGCTTTACCAGCACCATCATTCAAATCCGTAGATTCTTCTTCAGGCTTCCTTATTCAAAGTCGAATTTGCACACCCATATGAGGTGATGGAAAATACCATGGCATGGGTCAGATGCACATAGTCCTCACAGTGACATCCTTGCTCTTTAAGTGAACCAAATGTCAAAGTCCACATGGGGTGCCTTGGAGCACTGATTGTAAGTAAGGCATTGCTATTATTTTTTTATTTTTTTTCAGTGTTCATTGATTTTTTTTTTTAAACATTTTATTAGGGGCTCATACAACTGTTATCCCAATCTATACACACATCAATTGTGTAAAGCGTATTTGTACATCATTTCTCAAAACATTTTCTCTCCATTTAAACCCCCGACATTAGGTCCTCATTTTTCC